CTAAAGAAAATCAAACTTTTGGGCTGAAGCGATAGCACAGTGGGGAGGGTGTTTGCCTTGCACACAGCTGACCGGGGTTCAATCCCTAGCATCCCATATGGTTCCCAAGCACTGCCAGGAGTTATTCCTGAGTGCAGAGCCAGGACTAATCCCTCTGCATCGCCAGGTGCGACCCAAAAAGAAAAAAAAAATCAAACTTGCCAATCTATAGTCTTATCTCCAGAGTTGAAACTGATAATCTAGATAACAACCACTCTCTCCTGAGAATAAGTATTAAAGAACCAAATCTCACTTTCCATCTCCACAATGCCACTCAAGATTCTGACTATTAATAGTCTAGCATACCTATGCTTATTCCTTATAGGTAAAGGTAAAGGTAAAGGCCCTCCCGTTGATCATCGATTTGCTCGAGCGGGCCCAGTAACGTCTCCATTGGAGACTTTGTTGTTACTGTGTCTGGCATATCGAATACTCTCGGTAGCTTGCCGGGCTCTCCAAGAGGGGCGGAGGAATCGAACTCGGGTCGGCCATGTTGGCCGCTTGCAAGGCAAACGCCCTACCCGCTGTGCTATCGCTCCAGCCCGCTTAGTTAATAAAATATCACCCAAATTTATCCCGGAACTTTAAATTTACTCTAGACTGTAATTTGGGCAATCTGAACCCTCTTAAATGTAAATTTGGAGTAAAAGAGTCAGAAACGTCATCCTTAAATAAAAAGGAGCTACAAAACCACCAATAGCATTTTGATAGGCCCTGAAATAAGAACAAATACTAATTTCTTTCCACATGTAAGACAAAACATTTCATCTTAATAAAAGAAAATGAGTCAGAAGATAGATTCCCCAGAATATATGAGACCCTACTTAACCCAATCCATCAAAATAAGAGACACATTATTTTAAAACAAGAAGTTTTTCCAAACATTACTAATATCCAAGGTGACTCAAATATTCTCGTTTGCAAATAATGAAAGAACCCAATTAAAATACTAGTTTTATTGTACATACCGATATGATTTTATTCATCAAAAAATATATGAACTAATGGACAACATTAACACCAAGTATAGGGTTGTTTTTTCAAGATTTTCTTCTGCTACACTATGGGAATTCTCAACTTTCGGCAGAAAACACTGCAGTAATTGGCATGACCCTTTAGAGTATGGCTAGCTCAGTACTTTGTACTCAATAATGTTTATAGCAAGAGCTTCTTTCACTTTGAAAACTCTGCCTAAAAAAGGAATTCACTTTGAAGACTAAAGGAATTTAATTAAAGATAAAGCCACTTGGGTGGTCACATAACACATCAAACAGATCATACTTCAAGCAGAATTATTACTATTCAATTATGAGTACATGACTCATAGGAATATAAATGAAGTCATTTTTTTCCATGTACACCAACTTGGATCCTGAAATTTACATTTAGAAGGGTAGTATCACACATGCTCATTCTGTAAACTTTAACTCCAGTTTAACTTAATGTGGCTAAACATGGATTAACAATCCACTACCAACTATATATTGTTAAAAATTACATTAAATAATGTACTTGAAAATTTTTGGCTTTATAGAACAGAAAAAAACCTAAATATTAAAACTAAAATATTAAAGCTTTAAAAATACCACCAAAGCCTCAATATTATAAATGAGTAAATTTACTCCTAAATCTGCTTAGAGAATACATAGAGAATTTATTGGCTGTTAATTCCCAAGGGTAAAGAATAGTCAAACAGTTCACTGAAATTTTTTTTTCAGGACAGTGTTTAAAAGGAAAAAGCAAAAATCTTTTGGGAATAAAAAGTGTAGACAATTTTCTTGTCTCTCAAAATTGAACACACTGCAAGAAAAGTAAGGTTTTCTTCTAATTCAGGGTCATCACATGTACACTATGCCACTACAGTCCTAAAAGGACTTGACAGATACTGGTATAGGAGATGATTTGCTTTAAAAAAAAAAAAACTGGTTGCTAATTTCGTATTGCAAGTACCTACTTCTTGCTGTTTCATAACTTAATGAACCTTATCAGCACAGACCCCCTAAACACAAATTTAAACTCAAAGGAAACAGCTTTCTGTCTCCAACTACTAATATTGTTTGAGAGTGAGAGAACTAAATTTGAATACAATTATAAAAAAAAGGCTACACATGGGATAAAAGGTTTCTATAATGGTAAATATAGTAAGATAGGCAACCATGTAAGATTTTCTGAAAATCAATCAAAGTTTAAGTGAGAACAATTTGAATAATAAAACTGAGAAACTCTAGACAATCCCTCTCCAGCTTTTTTTTTCCAATGCAGAAAAGGCTAAAACTGAAATTAGAATAGTAAAATTAAAATTTGTGCATTAATTTCTTGCAGGATAGATGAATGAATAAAGGAAATGAAATAGCCTTATCAAGAGAATTGTCATCAAAAGTGAATGAAGCTCTTGGATAATGCAACAGTTGGAGAATGGGAAGTCAGTGGACCTTTTAGTAGACACTGAGATAAGATCAGATAGGTCCCACCTGAATGCACAAGTACTCAAACTAATGAATAAAATAATAATAATAAATTGTCAATAATGTGCTTATAAAATGAGGAATACAAAAGACATAATTTCCAGACCTTCCAGAGACCAAATAAATAATAGTCAATTATCATATAGTTTGTGAGTGCCCACTATATGACTTGCAGTTTATCAAGCATAAACATAATATTCCTCAAGCAGCTTAGCAAAATAATAGATACAACTTAGCAAAATAATCTAGATATAACACAAACATAAGTGAAAAACAATGCAAATTAAGCAAGGTTTTTTCATTTTAATGCTAATAACAGATGACAAACTGAGATATGAAACATGATCATGAGTATAAATCAATAGCTGTTACTTAAAAGAGCTAACACACATCATATAAACTCTATACTTTGTGCCAGTAATTTCCTTTTTTTAAACCTAAGAAAAAATATTTAAAGACATGTATAAATCTATTCTCTGTAGTTTTAAATTTATACTAGCAAACCATTAAAAGCAACCTAAAATATTAATAGAAAAAGTCAAAATTAGTTTTTAAAGACACAATGGCACGGGAATTAATGTTATAAAGTTAAATGAAAGTACCACATGGTCCCAGTTTTAGGAAAAATACAAGACAGGAAAATAGAATCAAACTATGTGTGCTTTTTATTTGCACGTCTTTTCCCAGTTGTTCTGTAAGACAGAGCAAATTGAAAAGATACACCACAAAATAAAATGAAGATGTAAATGTGATAGAATCAGCCTAGACTACGAAGTTTCAGGTAAAAAACAGAAAAATGATCCCAGATGGACTGGATAAAACGACATTTATCTACAGTAAAATTAAGAGGAAATGGTGGTGACCTTGATACTGATCTGAGCTGTAGGTGGAAACTGAAGGAGACTTAAGAGTTACAACAGATTTTGAAGGTTTCCAAATATATCCTATTTCGTGATTCATTCATTGTTTATATCCTCCCGGAAAGCTGGCTTTCCAAAAGATTTTCGTTACAAAACAATACTACAATTTCTCTATTTCTAGTGTTGATCAAGACACACTAACACCAGCGTACGGGTCTCCTAACCATTTCTTAAGATAAGGACAGTATTGAAAAGTATTCAGGGAGGAAGGAGAAATTAAGATTCCCCGAGGGCGTGATTTGCCCAGAGAAACTGCTAGTAGCTACAATCGCAAACAGCCAAGACTCTTAAGCCTTCCTCCAGCACTCTACAACTCTACATCGCAGAAGAACCCCAAGCTTTCCTCCAAGAGAGATTTTTTTTTTTAGAGTCACTTTTCCCCCTATAAAGCCACCGCTGGTTTGGCCGGCAGTTTTGTTAAGTTTCTCTCTCAGGTTTGGCGAACAAACTTGCCGCTCTCTTGTCAGTATGAGGAGAACACGCTCGATCCAAACTCAATAAGAAGTCAAGCAAACTGCTTGAGAAAAAAAAAAAGACGAGGGACGCTCGCTCTTCTCTTAATACCAGCTTGGGAAATCAAAGACAGGTAGTGTTTTCTACAATCAAACACAAACAAAAAAGAAAACACACTCCCCGTGAGGCGAAGCGGCGCGAAGAAGCCCATCTGCCCGCGACGGGGTGCGGAGGCGGGAAGTGTGTGTGTGTGGGGGGGGGTCAAAGAAACAAACAAACAAACAAAAAAACGAACTAAACAACAATCTTGAGGAGCAAAATAACGGTACAAGAACCTCCATCCAGGGAGTTCTCTATGGGCCCGAAAAGTCAGCCTCTCCTTCCCGCAGATCTCCTCTCTAAACACCAACAGTCTGGTTGTTCCCCACCACCAACCACACACCCTCAAATTTTCCAGGAACGTCGGGCCCCTTTTCAGCACGCCGAGAAAGGACACAAAATTAGGGGAGTATTCCCCACCCCCACCCCCGGGCCCCAAATGTCCTCTGGGGTATCCTCCCCACCCCATTCTAAAGCTAAATCAACCGTTTCTTGAAGTAAGTATGAAATACATCAAACAAGTGACCGTCCAATACAGACGGCTCCGCCTCAGAGCGCCCCAAAACAGCCGTCACCACAACCGCACCCGACGAGGCGGGGCCGCCGGGGCGAGGGGCGGGCCCAGGAAGACCACGTGTTCCGCCTTCTGCGCACGCGCCGGCCAAAACAAAAGGGAGGCCTGCCAAGCCCCGCCCCTGGCCCCACGTGACCGCAGCTAGGTCCGCCCCCCCACCCCTCCCTCCACCCCTTCCCTCCCCTCCCCTCAGCTGCTGCCAAGGCTGTTCGGTTTAGCCGTTTAAATTTGGCTGCGGTCCGACCCCTGCCCTAGAGCACGATCCTACGCCGGGACTCGAGTCCAACAGCCCGGAGGATTCGGGGAGCAAGGGGGGGGCTTGCCGGTCGGTCGCCGAGCCCGCAAGTCCACCCCAGCGAGCTGGTCCGCTCTCCCCTCCCCGCGCTCCCGCCGACCCCGGCAGAGGAGACCCACCCCCCTCAGCCCGCCGCTGAGACGCCGGCCACTCGCCTGCTGGGGCGCCCTGGCTCCCCTCCGCCGCCGCACCTTCGGTCCGGCCGTGGTGGGGGCTGCTGAGGTGATCTCTAGCTGCCCGCCCGCCTCCCCCCCCACCCGGGGCGCCGCTGACTCGTCTCCAGAGCGCGCCCCGCTCCCGCCCCGGCCGCTGCCGCCGCGGTTTAACAGTCCGCCCGCTGCCCGCAGCTCCGGGCGGCTCGGGGGACGGAACCCTGTCGCGGTGGAGGGGCAGTGGGCGGGGCGCGGCGCCGGCCAATGGCAGCGGGGGAGGGGCCGCGCCATGCAAATGAGCGCGGGCGGCGGGGGAAACCCCGGCAGGGGGCGGGGCCTGCGGTAGCGGCCGGGGAGCGTTCTGGAAGTGGCCCGGGGCGCGACGCCCGAACCCTGCCGCGGAGGCGCGGCGGCTCCCCCAGGGCGTGTTCTGCGCCTCTCCCGCTTCCTCTCTCGCCCTTCCCGGTGCCCGCCAGGAACACACACACACACACACAAACATCACCCAAGCGCGGCCCGGCGACTTCCCGCCCCTGCTCTGGCTATTTCTGGACCGCCGTGACAGGAAAAACAAAAACAAACAACAACAAAAAAAAAATACGCGGGGGGAGGAAGAGTCAGTCGGATTGAGGCCGCGCGGGCCGCCCCGCGTCCCGACGGTCGCCGCCCCGCCGCTCTCGGGGCAAGTTTTAACAAAGCTCAGTCGCGGCTGCCAGGCTGTTGCTTTCTGTTCGGGCTACGTTTTCGGATGAAAAGTCATCATTCTGTGCGCCCTCCGCGGGTGCCCTGAAATCTGCCTTTAGGAGCCCGCTGGGGGCGTTTTCTGGTCAGTATCAGGAGCCGCCGCTGGCTCAAGCATTTAAAAATCTTGTGCGCGGCTGCTTTGAGCCGCGTTGGACTTAATCCTGTTTGGCAGAAGCGCAGCCAAATAAATAGACCGAGCCTTACGTGGAGGTAGTTGGCCAGGGACACAGAAAAAACATCTCTGCGTCTTGCACCTGGCTCGGCGCTCCACTCACCAGTAAGCTGCACCGGGCATTTCCCCAGCCACGCACTCAATTTTTTTTTTTTTGTCAAACTGGGACCTAAATATAGCGCAGATGATGGATTACAGACTTTGCCAACCACCACCTAATTGACTCATGGAACGATTTGGGAAGGAAGCGCCCTAAAATGTTTGATGGCAAAAAAAAAAAAGCCATCATTCCAAACTAATTAATTGGTTTAGATGCCTGGGGGGTGGGCAGCCCATGGAATTGCATTAGAGGGAAATTTCTGGATCTTCAAAACAAGTAAACGTCACAAAATTTAGGAATACAGATCATTATCAGTACCATCAATACAGATTGATGTCCAATGATGTAGAAAAGCATAAAGTCACAGTCATCTGTAAACCTGCATTGATGACACAGTGGAACCTTTTTGTTTTTATCCCATTTAGCCACATATTATGAGTCAAGGGACTATATGTCTCAGATAGTCCCTTGACTCATAATACTAGTCTAAAGCGTGATTCATTGTTTGTAGCATATTAAAGCCGGTTTTCAAAAAACTGTAGAACACGTAAAGCTTAGTATAAAAGTTTCCATACTGGACTACTTGTCAGATTACTCAGAAAACGTCTGAAAAATCCATGTCTTTAATTTTCTTTAATCAAGTATTTATGCTATTCAGGAGGCATTCTTATTTCGTGTGTGTGTGTGTGTGTGTGTGTGTGTGTGTGTGTGTGTGTGTACAATGGGGAAACTTAAAGAACCAGCAAGAACAAGGAGAAGGGAAGGGCACCGTTTTTTGCTGACATAATTATTACCTTTCTGAGATCATGTAAAAGTGTCCTGGTAAGCAGTATTATAATGATTTCATGAAATAAACGTTTCTCTCAACACTGGGATGTATCCAGTCACTCCTTTCAGGAAACATGTGCAGCACTAAATTTATAGCTGACACTGATAAATTCTAGCGATTTAGGATAAAAATTAGTCCTTACTTTCACAGCTCGCAGCCAAAGGGAGTTACCAGTCCAGGCTTTCTATCCCCCTTCCTGCTAATATTCTCTGTAGCACTTACCATCATTTAATAGGAACATTAATTTTTTTTTTTGTCTTGTCAGGCACTTTTACTGTTTTGCTCACTACCTTATCCCCAGATTCTTGGATAGAGTCTACCTAGCTTTATAATTCCTAAAGCTTACAGAGTCTATAAACTTTACAGCACACTGTCCTCCTGTTGTTCCTCGATTTGCTCCAGCATGCCCAGTAACGTCTCCATTTTTGAGACTTGTTGTTATTGTGTTTGGCATATTTAATATGTCAAGGGTAGCTTGTCAGGCTTTCTCCTGGGGGCGCCATACTCTTGGTAGATTGCCAGGCTCTCTGAGAGGGGGCTGGCTGGAGCGATAGCACAGCGGGTAGGGCGTTCGCCTTACAAGCGGCCAACATGGCCGACCCGAGTTCGATTCCTCCGCCCCTCTCGGAGAGCCCGGCAAGCTACCGAGAGTATTCGATATGCCAGACACAGTAACAACAAAGTCTCCAATGGAGACGTTACTGGGCCCGCCCATTAAATAAATGCATACATTTAGGTCACATTCCATAGTGTTCTATTTGTTTTCCAGGTTAAGGGGGGGACCTTGAAGGAAACTCAATGAGTTTAAATAAAGTATCCAGATTCTTTATAAATGGTCTTTATAAAAGACACTAATAAATGATGAGTCTGGGATTTAAAGACAGTTCTACCAAGCTTCACACAAGAGGCTAACTCAAAAATCTCAAGAAGATTTAGGGGCTGAAGAATAGATAGTACAACAGGTAGAGCATTTGCCTTGCTCTACCAGGTTTGATTGTCAACATCCCATATGGTACCCTGAACACTACCAGAAATAATCCCTGAGTACAAAGTCAGGAGTAGCCCCTGAGCATGCCAGGCATGCGTTCCCACCCACCATCCCCCCAAAAAAACTCAAGAAGTTTTAAATTTCAAGCACAAAAAGGAAAAAAGAAAAAAGAAAGTGTGCACACACACACAAATAAAAACCTATTACCTATTAAGTAGGATGCTAAAAGTCTGCACGGATTATACCCCCAAAACTCAAAATGTCTGAAAAACACGAGATAATTCTCTATTTTATTGGTTCTAAGCTACATTTAGGGAGCAGGGGGCACACCTAATGGTGCTCAGGGCTTACTCCTGCTTTTATGTTCTGGGCTTATTCCTTCTGATGCACAGGGAATCTCTCTTGGGGGGGAAGGGTTGAGATATATAAAGTCATGTGGTGTTGGGGATAAAACCTGGGTTGACCACATGCAAGATTAGCACCTTACCTAATGTACGGCCTCTCCAAACCTTGAAGACTCATATTTATACTTAATACTTGTGAAATTAGAGTGACCAAAGTGTTGCTACAATAAAACATACTATCAGTTTGGCACTGTTTTTTTTTCCCCTTTCCTTTTTGGAGGGGGGGTGGGGGGGTCATCCTTATTTTCTTCTACATCACACACATACCTTATGTTCCTCCTCCTATTTTCTTCTGGGGTAACACAAGTTTTATTCTCAACATCCCCTGATTTGTCTATTTTGTTTTGTCTGCCTATCAATTTTATATCCAGTTATTGAACAATCACGGTCACAGTCCTCCTGTTGTTCATCGATTTGCTCGAGCGGGCCCAGTAACATCTCCATTGGAGACTTTGTTGTTACTGTGTTTGGCATATCGAATACGTCACGGGGAGCTTGCCAGGCTCTGCCGTGCGGGCGAGATACTCTCGGTAGCTTGCCGGGCTCTCCGAGAGGGGCGGAGGAACCGAACTCGGGTCGGCCATGTTGGCTGCGTGCAAGGCAAACGCCCTACTGCTGTGCTATCGCTCCAGCCCTATTGAACAATAAATGAAATAATACAAGTATTTTTCCATTTGATTTGTTTTGCTTCAAATACCTTTAATCTTCTTTCATTTTTACTCTGAATGGCAGTTTAATCTTTGCAATAGCTGAAAAGGGTTCCACTTTAGAGATTGGTCACATTTTTATTCAAATTATCTATTAACAGGCACTTGTGTTGCTTTTACATTTTAACTATTATACATAAGCATTTTTGCAACCAAATTATGCTGCAAGAATTATGATTATATATTACTATTTCTGCTAATGTTGCTGGATATCCAAAGTAGACCTGCTAGATCATAGCTAGCTCTATCTTTGACATTTTTGTAGGGGTGTTGTGGTTCCTGGACCAAACTTGGCATTGCTCAGGACTTACTTCTGGCTCTACCCTCAGGGATCACTCATGGTGGGGATCAGGGGACCAAAAGGGGGCCTGGGAATTAAACCCATCTTGGCTGTGTGCAAGACAGCGTTGCCCTACCTGCAGAACTCTCTCTCCAACCCCTACCTTAGACTTCTTGAGGAAGCTCCATACTGTTTACCAAATGGTCACACCAATTTACATTCTCACCAACAGTATATTTAGAGTTGTTTTTCTCCACATCCTCCCCAATATTTGCTGTTTCTTTTGATGCAAACCAATCTTTCAGGCAAGAGGCAGTATCTCATTGTGGTCTTAAATTACCTTTCCCTGATAATCAGTGATGATGAGCATTTTTCTTATGCCAATCATCCATCTCTATGTCCACTTTTAAATTTATTCAAACTTTCTGCTAGTTTTTGGATTTGATTGTTTTATTGTTGTTAAATTGCATGAATTATTTGTATGGTAAACTTTGGATATTAACCCCTTATTGACATACAAATTTTGTAAGTTATCTTTTGTTCTGCTTATATTTTCTTTTTTTATGCAAAGTATTTTCAGTTTTATAGAGTCTCAATCATTTGTCTTTACTTTTGTTTCCCTTTCTGCTGAAGCCAAGTCCCTAAAAACATGTCTCATATTAATTTCAAGAAATATTTCACCTTTGTAGTCTTCTATCTTTTTTTCAGGATTTTAGGTCTTAGGTAAAGGTAAAGGTAAAGGCCCTCCCGTTGATCGTCGATTTGCTCGAGCGGGCCCAGTAACGTCTCCATTGGAGACTTTGTTGTTACTCTGTCTGGCATATCGAATACTCTCGGTAGCTTGCCGGGCTCTCCGAGAGGGGCGGAGGAAACGAA